CCGAAAATATGAAGATAGTGTAAGGAGCCTCTGGGACAGCTTCAAGCGTACCAACATCAGAATTATAGGGGTGCCAGAAGATGAGAGAGAGCAAGATATTGAAAACCTATTTGAAGAAATAATGACAGAAAACTTCCCCTACCTGGTGAAAGAAATAGACTTACAGGTCCAGGAAGCGCAGAGAACCCCAAACAAAAGGAATCCAAAGAGGACCACACCAAGACACATCATAATTAAAATGCCAAGAGCAAAAGACAAAGAGAGACTCTTAAGAGCAGCAAGAGAAAGAAACTCAGTTACCTACAAGGGAGTACCCATACGACTGTCAGCTGATTTCTCAACAGAAACTTTGTAGGCCAGAAGGGAATGGCAAGAAATATTCAAAGTGATGAATACCAAGAACCTACAACCAAGGTTACTTTATCCAGCAAAGCTATCATTCAGAACTGAAGGTCAGATAAAGAGCTTCACAGATAAGGAAAAGCTAAAGGGGTTCATCACCACCAAACCAGTATTATATGAAATGCTGAAAGGTATTCTTTAAGAAGAGGAAGAAGGAGAAAAAGGTAAAGATACAAATTATGAACAACAAATATGCATCTAGCAACAAGTGAATCTAAGAATCAAGTGAATAAATAATCTGGTGAGCATAATAGAATCAGGGACATAGAAAGGGAATGGACTGACTATTCTTGGGGGGGAAAGGGGTGTGGGGGATGCGGAAAGAGACTGGACAAAAATTGTGCACCTATGGAAGAGGACAGTGGGTGGGGAGTGAGGGCGTAGGGTGGGGCGGGAACTGGGAGGAGGGGAGTTATGGGGGGAAAAAAGAGGAACAAATGTAATAATCTGAACAATAAAGATTTAATTAAAAAAAAAAAAGATAACATCTAGGCCTCAGGTGTATTTCAGCTCCAGACCCAGAAAAGTAGCAAAACCAGACAAGTGATGCCGGGGCTGCCTCAGGACCAGCTTTTACCTCCCAAGTCACTCAACAGGTTTCCTTAGCCTTAGCTATCACATACAAATTCCACTCAGCATACCACCCCCAATCTTAAGGGAAAGTAGAAAATGAACTATTCCCTAAAGAATATAGGCAATCTATGTTAGGAGACTCATCTACATTGGAATCAGGTGTTGCCAATCATCCTGCTCAGGATTAGAGTAGCTCCCTGAATGGGGTTGGGTTTAGTCCCTATGAAGTAACATATGGGTGACCCTTTCAGGCTGCTATAGGAATAGATGCATATGTAGATCATGATGTTAAAAATTAAGAATTATATGCAGCATCTTTACCAGGTGTTCTAGTTATTGTTTTTCAGTATCTACAATATAAACTATTCTGACAATGCCACCCTCCCTTATAGTAATGGACATACTAAGTTGCCGGCTGCTTGGTTTCTGATATGTGGGGTAACTGTTTATACATATAACCCTGCCAACAGCACCAGGAGGCCTTGTTTCTTAGGATGACTGGTAGAAGATAGAGACCGTTGGTCTGATTCCATAAAAATAATTACTAACAAATAGAGGAGGGAAATGTTAGGACTATAGGGCAATTAAGATCTTTAATGGCCATTTGTAAGCTTCCTGCCTTAGGAGAACAAGACCAGAAAAAATAACTTGGTGGACACTTGGAATCAGACCATATAAGAAATTGATACGGTCCTAAAGACACCTGATTGCACACCTGCATTCCATCCACATTCCAAGTCTGCCCATTCAGCCCCCAAACCCACTGATGACAGACAATAAGAGCTTCCCACCAGTGACTGCATAAGGATGAAACTCCAGCTCCTGGGGGCAGCCATCATCAACCCAATGTCTCCTTGGTTCAGTGCTTAATGTCCCTTTCTTTAAATTAATTAAATTTTTCTTTATCCACTGTCTGAGATGACTATTTATTCTGCCCACGTACCACCATGATAACCTTTCATTTAAAAACTTCACTTTGGTTACCTCTAGGACAGCAGTTCTCAACCTGTGGGTCACGACCCCTTTGAGGGTTGAACGATCCTTTCACAGGGGTCACCTAAGACCATCGGAAAACACATACGTAATTACATATTGTTTTGTGATTAATCACTATGCTTTAATTATGTTCAATTTATAACAATGAAATTGGGGGTCACCACAACCTGAGGAACTGTATTAAAGGGTAGCGGCATTAGGAAGGTTGAGAACCACTGCTCTAGGATATAAAATTCCTGATGGAATTGTTTGCTAAAAAGTGGCTTATTATCCTGGTTTGTATCGCTCAGCCTATCATCAATTACCAATGTTGTAGCTGGACCAGCCCTTGTAGTTCTTATGATTGCAAGATGCCCTTCAGTAATAACTCAGAAAACTCTGAAATGATACAGGTTTTGTTACTTAACTAGACCTGGGAAATTCAACAGAACATCTGGGGCCATGAAGCAAGGTCGAGAGCTCACAGGATCCTGAGATTCTGCTTTTATTGGGATGGAGGCTGGGGACCTAGGGTTTCACCTGGCCCACCCTTTATTGGTTAATTTAAAACATAGGAGCAGGAATTTAAAGCACAGGAAGAGGGAAAAAAACCACAAAAACAAGTAGCCCAAGTGGTCACTTATTGCAATTAACCAAGATCTCTAAAACAAGAGATGCAGTGGGGAAGGCAGCCTGGCTCCATAAGGCTTGTAGTGTTTATTGGAAATAGCTGTCTTTGAAGTGGACGCATGGGTAATCAAAGCTTAAGTCAGGCCCATGCATTACAGTAAGCCCTTGATTTTGCTGACCTCAATTTAACAGAATTTCCAGTCCCTATGTCATATGTGAAAATTAACACCCTGTTAATTTTAAAATGCTTTTAACCCAAGATTTGCTTATAATCAAATTAACAGATTATTTGTAATTGTTAATTCACTGTTTGAACAAATTTTAGTGAATAGGCCATATATTGGAAAAAACACTATAATAATTTTTCCAACATAAATATTACATATCTATAACTACTATAGTCTACATACTTAAATCCAAGAGTTACTGTTTGTAAACAGTGTCAGGCGAATGATTAGCACATGATCACATCACATCATGCCCAAAAATTGGTTCTGTAGTCACGTGGTGTGACTCTCTACAGCTGTTTGAACACCTGCTAGCAGATGTTCCCACATGCACCAAGCCATGCCCAAACTATGTGCATTTAATTGTGGTGACTTGAATGCATGCTTTTACTAGACCTATTCAGTATAAATTTAAAGTTGCAGTAATACATTTAGAAAACTTTTCTGTGAAATTAAACTTTTTATACATAGTTAATTATAATTACACAAATATATTTACATATGTAAAAACAGGTAAACTAATTTGTCAATTTTTTAACATACCCATTCAGAAAATCTGGTTTACTATATAATGGACTTTCAGCTTTAATAGACACCCCCTCAACTGAATTAGTCCATTATGTCAAGGTTTTACTGTACAGGAAAAGATAAAAGCAACAATTGTCAGGGCTTATACAACTTATCCACACATGATGGATTTCATAATATTTCTAATGTTGATTTAATTTTGTAAACCATGCTTTGCAAATGCATGGTTGGATCCTGTGAGAGACTGTTATCAACTTTTGAGACTTTGAGCCCTTTCTTCAAACTAACTGCACACTGAATCACACCTGTAAGAGAGACTCCAGAGGGCTCCCCTGCCTGTGGTGGGGGTTGGCCCAAGCCCCGCAGCATGAGGTGCTTCCATCAAGCACAGAGGGAAACCACTGCTCCCAAACCTAACTTTGGGAAGAGGACCATAAAGATGGTCCTCAGATAGAGCACCATGCAGATTATGTAATCACACATTGAATTTGGTTCTTGTGAATGGGGCTTGTCAACCAGAGAAGTCTATGGCATCAGTTTAGAGTAACACATCTCTGTCCTAGAAATCAATCACCTGTTACTGTATAAAATGTCTTCGTTTCATTCTTTTGGCTTTTCTGCTGCCCCCCAACTTTAAATCCATGTCTATTTTGGGGGAAGAGAGGGAAAATAAAGATTCAATGAGTTTAATTTAGGTGCTTCTGAGATATTCTAAAGGAGAGGACAGATTGGCAACCATATATTTGGGTATGGAGCTCAGAAGAGAGATGCTAGTGGAAGCCAAGGGTGTGGCCAGAGAGAGAATACCAGGAAAGAGCCTAGGACTGAGCCTGAGAAAGTCAGCTGTCAAGGCTGGGTAGAGGGGGATGAATGTGTAATAAGGGGGAAAGTGTTTCCTGAAGTAGGAGAAAAGCTAGGAGAGCACGGGATGGTGGACATCAAATGAGGATAGTATTTCAAGGAGAAATAGATACAGTATTGAATGCTGTTGAGAATGCAAAGGAAAGGAAGTTTTCAAATGTCCACAAGATTTAGTAGCATGATGGTGGTATGTTATTTCCAGAATTAAGTTTTCTATTCTTTCTGATAGTTACTTTAACACTGAAAACTCCTGAAGAGCAGACACCTTGAATAGATCTCCACATCTTCCTTTATTGCTTTTTTAGTTAAGAAATGCCCAATAAATATTGGCTATTTTGTGAACTTAATGATACACTTGAAACCTTCATTCAAAAAGTATTTGTTTTGGGGTGTGCTGGTGATAGAATTGTTCTATATCCTGATTGTGTTGCAGTTACATGTGTTAAAACTCCTAGAACTGTACACCTCAAAAGAGTCCATTTTATTGCATCAAAATTTAAAACATTTTAAAATAGTAGTGATATAATTATTTTTCTTACATGATGGTGATCTTTTGGGTATTTATGGTAAAGAGATTCTTAAACTCTTATATGTAGTTCCTAAGTGGGCCTTTGTATTTATACAAGACAATAAAATACTGTATATTGAATAAAAATAACTAAAGTTTTAAATAAAGTATTTGAGAGAAATACAGAAAAGTGCTGATAGGAAATTCATGAAAATGCATATGTAATTTAAGCTGATACTAAAAGAAAGGAAAAAGAAAACCATAACAAAATCTCTATTGTTTCATCTTTTTAACAGACAGGAATGGGTCACTTGCGTGTTACAAAAGATGGGCTTCGCCTGGAAGGGGAATCAGAATTTTTATTTCCTTTGTATGCCAAAGAAATACACTCCAGAGTGGTAAGACAATGATGAAACATTTAAATCATTTGTGTTTTATGAAAAACAAATAATGATTAAGCACAAAAATTTCTGAGGAGAAATAAAAAGGAGACATATGTACTACTATCTGTAATACTTTAAACAATAAATTAAAAATAAAATAAAATGTATACATGTACACACATTCATGATAAACTCTTTATAAATGGATTTTCTCTAAGGCTGTGGAACTTATTTCTAATACTAGAGGCCCCAAGCACGAATTCATGCACCAGTGGGATCCCTTGGTCTGGCCTGTGGGATCGGGCCAAAACCAGCTCTCTGACATCCCCCGAGGGGTCCTGGATTGCAAGAGGGCACAGACCAGGCCCAGGGACCCCATTGGTGCAAAATCGGGGCTGGGGAGGGATGCTGGAGGTTGGCCAGCCAGGGAGGGGCCATGGGAGGGCTCCAGGGCATGTCCGGCCAGACTCAGTCAGTCCTGATTGGCCAGACCCCAGCAGCAACCTAACCTACCAATTGGAGCATCTGCCCCCTGGTGGTCAGTGCACGTCATAGTGAGCAGTTGAGCAGCCTTAGCATTTCATTAGCATATTACACTTTGATTGGTTGAACGAACGACTGAACACTTAGCATATTAGGCTGTTATTACATAGGATTACATTCTAAAAAGACTCTATTTTATGCATTTCAAATCTGAATTAAGTGGTCTCAGTCATTTAAACCATAATAAAGTAAAGTTGGTAATGAAAAACTTTATCAAAAACAATCTAAATTTCTTTCTCTTAGTGCAACTAATTTAAATACACTTCTTTCAAGGCATTTAAGATTTATCTAAGAAGAATAGAAAGAAATTAGTGTCATAGTGGTATGTTCTATAGTAATTATACTAATTATACTGATTGTGATCCTGTAGGATTCTTCATTAAGAGATTAAACATCACTATTAAATAATTGTGTGACTTTAAAAGTAAATCTGCCTCAGTATTATCTTCATTTACTTCTATGAATTTTATAACAAGTAGAGCCAAGCACAAAATATAGTCAAACAATTTTTGTACTACTTTACCTTATGTGATACTATGGACTTTGTAGCAGAGTTAACATTTTGCTAGATTACTGATTAGGTGATATTAGCTAAATAAAATGTTAAAACTTTGTCCAACTATAACGTATAAATTGTAAGTCATTTTTCTCCCATCTTTCTAGATATGAAAAAATATGTCAGTATCTCCTACATGCAGGGTCTGTACCAACTATTCCAGAGCAATTAGAAAGAAAACAAAAAGTCAACAACTGAGAAACATTTGGTCTTGTAAAAGAGATAAAGCACTCCTAAACTACACATCAGAGCAATCGCCAAGCTCTACCACTGCAAAATGATATGGTGTAAAACTTACACAGAAATAGTGACTCCAAAGGAGAGATCCTAGAGAGCACAGGACACATAAGTAGTTATTAGGCACTACTAGAAATATCTCAGTTGACAGTAGGGGCAGGCAAATGACCTATAATATGAACCTGATTCTGAGAGCTTATTCAGATAGTACACTTCCATCAATCTTAATGGTATTTCAGTGTAAAACAGCCCTGTTATATAGAAACATGGGAATTAATGCAAGCTTTTATAAAAAGGAAAATCAGATGTGAACAAAAATTTACATATTAAAAAATAGAGAATAAAAAAATTTACATATTAGAATTTAGGCTTCTTTTCCTTTAGAGTTATGTTGGCTGATCCCCTATCATATTTTTAAAAGCTAAAGCTAGTAGAATAACCTGGTGACTAAAAGCAGGTGATTAGATCATAGCAAATTTAATATTCTGGAATTAATAATACTTTTAGTTATATCTTTTTTTTTTTTTCCCAGCTGTGACTCCAGACAGGATCCAAAGAGGAGTTTTACCATCTCTTCTCTGGGTTTTATGGAGACTTAGTTTACCCTTCTGTGTTAGCCTCTTAAGGCACTGAAATTTTAGTTATATCTTATTAGACTCTTTCATTTACAGTATACTTTTAAAAAACCAAGGAGTAAAATTATGTAAATTGTTTTAGATAATCACATATTAAAGTGATATGTCAATCATTACACAAAACCACACAAACATTTAGAATATTATGGACAAAGTATTTTGTATCTAATATGACTTTCAATAATAGGATTAACTGAATAAAATGATGTCTTGTGATTTTCATGTTCATTGATATATTAGTTAAGTTTTCTTTTCAAAGATGAGTGTAGGACGTAATTTTTCATAAACTTACAGAAATTGCCTTATGAATTTGCAAAATTCATTTGTCTGTATTGCTGGGCTGAGAAAACTTTTTTATTATAAATATAATTAAACATGGTACTATAGCCTCTAGCAGTATGAAAAAGGGACCCCTCAAAATTATTACATGAGATCTTGTCAAGACTGAGCTTGGGGATTATAATTTAAACCCATCCACCCTGCTTGTTAGCCCAAACATATAGCAATTATATCTGATAAAACAAAAGGTTGTATTTAAAAATATGTAGTATGGTCATACATTAAATGAAACAAGCACACAGAGGTAAAACGATTGTCTTTGAAGTTCACAACCCTGAAAGGGGGTAAGGATAGCTTACAGGCAAAGCCCACAAAAGTAGCATCAACATGACAGAGACCTCAATTAAATCCATTGCATGAGACAGCAATGAAAGGCAGAAAATATTTGCAACTACTGCCCAACCTTGAATAAAGCTGCATATCTGTGGGGAGGAAATCACAGAGATGCCAAACCAGGACCTGAACATCACTGAGGACATGAGCCCTGAGCCACTATTATAAAACTGAGAGACCCTGGAGTTTGAATAGAAACAATGCTAAAGCCTTTTGACAGGCCGGGTAAGTGCAGAACTTAAAATAATCCACATAGGGAGCTTGAGACTAAATCTTCAAACCACATTAGGTAAACTTATCAAATAAAACACTATAAAAAAGAATAATTTTCAACTAAGTAAAAATAATCAATCTGAAAATGATTGTGAAAGCAAAATCAAGAATCTCAAGGAAGTAAATCTGTTTTTGAGTAGCTTTCATTAAAAGAACAAATTATAAAATCAAAACAGGTGATATAGGGCAGAAATAACAGAGAATAGACTTACCTTCTCTCATTAACCAACTTAAAACCTTGAAAAATGTATAAAATAATGATTTTTGCTGTAAAATGTCAATATGTTGAAATCTTAACATCCAATAGATACAATAACCAAAATGAGACACAGAGAAACAAGACTGAATAAAATTAACAGAGTATCAGTGAACTGAGGGACAATGTGAACGGGTCTTATATATTTGTAATTGGAATCCTTGAAGGATGGTAGAGGGAAGAAAGGACAAATATTGGGGTGGACTGTGATTCTTTTTCTCCAAGTGTGATGAAAACTTTAAACCATAGATCAAACATGCTTAATGAAACACAAACAAAGGAAACGAAGAAAACTACATCAAGACACATCATAAATAAATTGCTTAAAATTAAAGATAAAGATAACTCTTCAAAGCAGCCAGAGGAAAAGGACAATTGTATATTAAAAAGAAAAGAAAAGAAATTAAAGGAAAAGAAAAGAAGAGGAAAGGGAAATAACAGACTTCTAGTCAGGAATAATTCAAACCAGAAGACAGTGAAGCACCTACTTTAAAGTACTAAAACAAAGCCAACCCAACCTAGCAAAAATATCTTTAAAAAACAAAGCCAAAATAAAATCTTTTCAGACTTTCTAAAGCTAAACAATGTTATTTTAGCAGACTGACACTACAGGAAGTATTAAGGAAAGTACTTTATGCAAGAGGGAATATGATATTAGATGGAAATATCAATCTGCACAAAGGAATAAAAAATATCAGAAATGGTAAATATGTGGGTAAACAAAAATAATACTTTTCATTATTTTTTTAATTAAATTTATTAGAGTGACATTGGTCAACATGAACATATATATTTCAGCTGTGGGTTTCCAATGCACTATGTGCCCACCACTTAAAGTCAAATCTTATCCTGTCACAATATATTAGGACTCTCTTTTCCCCTCACCACCTTCCCTATGGCAACCTCAACTCTGCTGTTTGTGTTCACAAGTTTCAGTTTTATATCCCACAAATTAGTGAAATCATACGGTTCTTAGCTTTTTCTGACTGACTTATTTCACTTAGCATAATATTCTCAGGGTCTATCCATGTTGTTGCAAATGGTGCTATTTCATTCTTTCTTTGGCTGAGTAGTACTCCATTGTGTATAAGTACCACGTCTTCTTTATCCAGTCCTTTATCTCAGGTCACTTTGATTGTCTTGGCCACCATGAATAATGATGCAATGAACATAGCGGTGAATATATCTTTGAGAATGCGTGATTTTGAGTTTTTTGGGTATATACCAAGGAGAGGTTTTACTGAGTTGTATGGTCGCTCTATTCTCTACTTTTTGAGGAATCACCAGACTGTTTTCCATAGTGGCTGTACCAGTCTACATTCTCACCAGCAGTGAATGAGGGTCCCTGTTTTCCACAACCTCTCCAACACTGGTTATTGCTTGTCTTGTTGATAATGGCCACTCTAACAGGTGTGAGGTGGTATCTCATTGTAGTTTTGATTTGCATTTCCCTAATTGCTAGTGAGGATGACCATATCTATTGGCTGTTTGTATGTCTTCTTCGGAGAGGTGTATTTTCAGGTCCAGTATAAAAATATATCAATAAAATATAATTTTATTGATTTCAGAGAGGAAGAGAGAGATAGAAATATCAATGATGAGAGAGAATCATTGATTGGCTGCCTCTTGCATGCTCCATACTGGGGCTCAAGCCTCCAACTGGGGCATGTACCCTGACAGGGAATCGAACCGTAACCATCTGGTTCATAGGTCAGTGCTCAACCACTGAGCCATGCCCGCTGGGCTTCTCTGCCCACTTTTTGATTGGGTTGTTTGTTTGGTGAATTTTATGAGTTCCTATGGAATACTCATAAAATTAATATTTTGGAAATTAAACCTTTGT